AGATAGAAATAGATGATAGATTAGATAGATCATAGAGACAGATAGTGATAGAGACAGAAATAGATGATAGATTACATAGAGAGAGAGAGAGAGAGATAGAAATAGATGATAGATTAGATAGATCATAGAGAGAGAGAGAGAGAAATAGATGATAGATTAGATACAGAGAGAGAGAGAGAGAGATAGAAATAGATGATAGATTAGATAGATAGAGAGATAGAAATAGATGATAGATTAGATGATAAGAGATAGATAGAAAGAAAGATAAATAGATGATAGACTGGATAGATGATCTATCTATCATCTATCTATCATCTCCCACTATTTTGTAAATAGAAAACAAAAGTAATTGTGTGTGTTTTTTCTCTAATCAAAGCAGTCAGTTTAGACATCTCTGCTAAAGAAGTGAAACATTTTCAGAGAAAAAAACAAGAAAATTTAATATTTTTTTCGGGGGGGGGGGGAAATCACCTTTGGGAAACCCGCGATTTGGACGATGGAGAATCTCTGTTGATCTGGAAAAGTTATCTGGAATTAGACATGATGTTTGTTCCGAGTGTGGATTGCTTTGGTTTTCTGCATTTTTGTTGCTGTTCTCGTCTTTTGGACTTCAAACTGGTTAACGTGGATATATATTTTTTTAAATTACCAGTAGTTTAAAAGGGGAGAATGGCGAGGTTGACTCCAGATATTTGGGGTATAAAAACCTTTGGAGCTTTTGAAAGACCGGACGGCCATTTGTCTGAGATGCTATAGGATCTCTCTCCTCCTTGGGCAAGGGGGTTGGACTAGAAGACCTCCAAGGTCCCTTCCAGCTCTATTCTGATCGATTGATTGAAACGGTATGCTTGAACAGGGGGTTAGACTAGAAGACCTCCGAGGCCCCTTCCGACTCTTGTTATTCTGGGTTAACCTAATTCCAATGCCATAGCTACTCTCTACCTATCTTAAAGTTCCTGTGACTGAGAAGGACTGCACCCAATCCAGACCGGTGGCCTTCAGCACCCAGCATCCCCCCCCACCCAGCCAGGATGGCCATGGCGGCATTGCTGGGAATTCTGGGCGTTGAAGTCCTTTGTTCGGAAGCTACCAAGGACGGGGGGTGTCCAAGACAAACCAAGAATCACCCAGGTTTCCCTCTCTTGCTTTTGGTGCCCACACAGGATGCTCAGCGCCAAGGTGCTGGCCGGGGTGTTGATGTTATGCCTGCCTTCGGCGTGGTTGGCAGGTGCCAGCAGCTGCCAAGGGCCCCCACTTATCCCGGGGACCCCCGGTATGCCAGGAGCTCCGGGGCCCAACGGCCAGGATGGAGCGGACGGGAGCAAAGGAGAACGAGGTAAGGAGGAAAGATCCGCGTCTGCTATTGGGGAGGGGGGGGAAGGGGGGGATGGACAGACCCCAGCTTCGAGGACAGAGGAAGGGCAAAGGTTGGGAGGGAGCCTTGGGTCATCTAGCCCACCCCTCTACCTCGGAGAAGCCGCAAACTCTCCACCTGACTGCTTCACAAATCTTTGTCCTTCGTTACCCCAAACCCCGATCAGAAAGGAGATGAAGGGAAAGATGGAGGTGGAAAAAGAGAGGGAGAGGGAGGAGGAGGAGGAGGAAGAGAGAGAAGAAGGAGAAGGAGAAAGAAGGAGGGGAGGAAGAGGAGGAGATGGAGAAAGAGGAGAAAGAAGGAGAAGGAGAATCCTTCCTTCCTTCTTCCTTTTATTCCTTCCTTCCCTTCCTTCCAATTTCTTTTTCTATTCTCGTTCTTTGCTCTAACCCACCCTCCTTCCTTCCTTCCTTTGTTCCTTCCTTCCCTCCTTCCTCCCAATTTCTTTTTCTATTCTCATTCCTTGTTCTGACCTTCCTTCCTACTTTCCTTCCTTCCTACTTTCCTTCCTTCCTTCCTTCCTTCCTTCCTTCCTTTTCTCCAAGTACATTTCCATCCCGGGACTCAAGCGTCCCCTTCTCTCTCCTCTGCCTTGGCTGCAGCTCTTCCTCCCTTCCCTGAAGCCGATTCTCACCCTCCGCCCATTACACTTCCCCTTCCTAGTCCCCCCCCCCCACAACCCCAACCCTGCAAGGTAGGCCCCCGTAGCTTCCCCACCCTTGGTCCGTCGTCTTCTCCGCCGCACCGACTGTTTTGTTTTGCGTCCTTTTCTTTAGGTCCCCCGGGAAGAGTTGAAGACTACCGAGACGCCGGCGAACCGGGTGAACCCGGGATGCCAGGTTTCCCAGGAAAATTTGGGCCCCGGGGTCCCACGGGGGCTAAAGGTCCCCCGGGGCTCCCTGGTGACCGGGGCCCCAAAGGCGAATCGGGTGATGCCAAAGCCTCTCACCGGTCCGCTTTCTCGGCCGTGCGGGGCCCTACGTTTTCTCCCCGTCGGTCACAACCGGTCCGTTTCGACCGGGTCCTGGCCAACGTGGGCAACCACTACAACAACCGCTACGGCCAGTTCACCTGCCGGATCCCAGGCATCTACTACTTCACCTATCACGTCACCTCGCGGGGCAACCTGTGCCTGCAGGTGAAGAAAGGCCGGGGTACAGCCAGCGGGGAGAACGTGGTGACCTTCTGCGACTACGTCCTGAACACCTTCCAGGTGACCACCGGCGGAGTGGTCCTGCGCATGGCCCGGGACGAGATGGTGTGGCTGGAGCCGACGGAGAAGAACTCCCTCCTGGGGGGCATAGAAGGCGCCGACAGCATATTCTCCGGGTTCCTTCTCTTCCCCGAATCGAACGTCTGAACCCCGTTACCTTTCGGGGAGGGGCAGGTGTCCAACTTTCCCGCCCCGCCCGCCCGAAAGGATTAACACCGGTGGGCTTAGGAGTTGCAACCCTCCCCGTCTCCTTCCTCCTGCTCAGCCCCCCCCCTCTCTTTGCTTCACCCCTCCCCACTCCTCAAATTATTGGTCAGGATTCCAGCAATCGCCCCGCATTAAATCATGATTAATCATGAGGTAATCTCCAAAAAAAAACCCGTTTTTTTTTCCTCTCCTTTATGGCAATTACTAAAACAGGCCTAGGAATGTTTTATGAGTTGTCATTATTATTATTATTTTTCAAAAGGGTGGGTGGGTGGGTGGGAGAAAAAACCGCCAACCTTCAAGATCTCGTCAAGATTCGCCAACGGATCAATAAACCGTCATTGAGAAAGAAAGAAAAAGTTTCGCAAGGACGCGTGAGGCGATTCGAACTCGGGTTTTCAAGCCGGGGAAATGTGGGGGGGGGAATTTGGGGGGGGGGGGGGGGGGGAGGGGTTTTTTTTGGGGGGGGGGGGGGCTCTTGACCCTAGTCCTCGACTTACAACGGTGCCCGTGCAAAGTGACGACCGGTCTTTTTTCACACTTATGACCGTTGCCTCATCCCCCGGGTGACTTTACATTCGGATGCTTAGCCGCTGGTTCGTGGTTACGACGGCGGCATAACTCCCCCGCAGACATTCCTCGCTTAGCGACGTAAATTCTGGGCTCGATGGTGGTCCGTGCGTTTTAAAGGTTCCCAAAATTTAAAAAGAAAAATACAGACAAAGCTAACGTTGAAAGGTTGAAAGCAACAGACAGGCCAGTCCTGGATGACCAACTGAGCCCTTGGTCACCTCAAACGCTCATTAAACGAACTGCCGTTAAGCAGGACGTACCTGTATCTTCCGTCCAGCATTCAGGCGAGCCAGAGACAGCCAGCAGAGGGCGCTAGACGCTCAAGGATTGGCATCCAGACCTCACGGGGGATTGCAAGGGAGGCGGGGCGAATAAGACCCCCTTATCCCCCCCCCCAGCTTTATAAAGAGGGGGATACTGGCTGGGAGGGAGGGAGGGAGATTGAGTTACACCCCCCCACACACACCTCGGAAGGACGGAAGTCAACTTTGAGCTGGTCAGGATCGAACTGCTGACAGTTTGGCAGAATTTCCCCCTAAACGTGAATCGATTTTGCTTCAAAGGTCTGCTGACCACGTCCAGATTAGCAGGAGGGGGGGGGCATCTGGAGGCCAGAGGTCAACCCTCACAGGGCTGCCAAGGGCTGGATTGGATGGCCTCTAGGGTCCCCTAGAGTCGAGCCACCCCGGCATTAGAACGGCCAGGTTTCAAAGAATGTTTCTTTTTCTGCTGGTTTAAGTTTCATTTTTAAAATTTAAAAGGATATTTTACCTTTTTTGTATCTTTTGATCTTTTCCAAGTTCTAATTCTCCTTTCCACAGATTCCCATAATCTCTCTCTCTCTCTCTCCTTCCTCCCTCTCTTTCTCCCTTCTTTCTCTGTCTCTCTCTTTCTTCCCTTCCCTGACTTTCTTTTTCTCTCTCTCCTTCCCCCTCTCTTTCTCCTTCTTTCTCTCTCTTTCTCTGTCTCCCTTTTTCTCTCTGTACCTCCCTCTCTCTTTCTCCATCTCTTCCCTTAGCTTTTTCATTCCCTCTCTCCCCCTCCCTGACTCTCCTTTTCTCTCTCTCCTTCCCCTCTCTCTATCCCTCTTTTCTCTCCTCCTTTCTCTCTCTTTGTCCTTCTCTCTTTCTCTCTTTGTCCCCCTCGGTCTCTCTTTTTCTCTCCTTCCCTCCCCCTCCTCTTTCTCTCTTTCATTGTCTCTCCTCATCCCCCTTTTTCTCTTCTCTCCCCTACTCCTCCCTCTATTCCTCTCTTTTTCTCTCCCCCTCTCTTTCTCTCCTTCTTTTTCTGTCTCTTTCTCTCTCCCCCTCTCAGTCTCTTTTCCTTCCTCTCCCACTATCTCTTTCCCTCTGTTTCTCTCTCTCTCTCTTTCTCTCTCTAATTCATCTTTCAATTCTTTTTTTTTTAAAATAATCCATCAAATTCAGTTGTCAGTGCCGCATGTCTTAAAAGAGGCCAACATTGCAAAGGACTCTTAAAGCATCTAGGTCATATTGTTTAGATAATGCCTGTTTCATAATATAGAGTCTTCCCTCTCTCTATATAAAATATATAAATATATTTCCTCTCCTTGAAAGTCCCCAGTGATGGAGGAGGGAGGAAGGAAGGAAGGAGAGAAAGGAGGAAGGAGGAAGAAGAGTAGAATAACACAGTTGGAAGGGACCTTGAAGGTCATCTAGGCCAACCCCCCTGCCCAAGCAGGAGACCCTACCCCATTTCTGACAGAGAAAGCCAATTTGTATTTCAGACAACTTTTCCTTGCGGGGGGGGGGAGCAATGGACTTTGGGGAGGTTTCATGGACCCCTCCCCTTAAGTAAACCCCTTTCCAGTCTCGGTTGGAAATTATACGGTCCGTGTTAAAAAAAAAAAAGAACAAACCACTCCATAAAACTTTATTGTGGAAGGATTTTAAGCCGAAATTACCTGGCTCAAGGTTGAATGGAGGGAAGGCGTGGCCAATAAGCCAAGTTTTGGTTGAGATTTCTTATCACTCTGAGTGGGGGGTGGGGGGTGGGGGGGAGAAGGGGGCTTTTGTTTGTCTTCTTCTGAAGTGGGATCACCTCCCCTCCCAAGAGGGCCAACGTTCAGGGCTGTGTTGTGCAATGGGCAGATCCTTACACACACACACACACACACACACACACACACACACACCAGCCGTGAAGTTAGGGGGGGGGGTCTGTCGTTTTGTAGTCGGTGGGGCTTTTTTTAAAAAAAGGTTTTTAATTTTATTGGGCCGCTGACCGCCCAGAGTTATTTGACATGTGAGGGGGCAGTAAATAAATTCAATAAATAAATTATTGGATGGAGAGATGGACGGACAGACAGAGAGACGGAGTGATAGGTAGGTAGGTAGGGATAAATAGATACATAGAAAGATAGATGATAGATAGAGAGAGAGATTTAGATATAAATAGATATAGAGATAGATAGAGATAGAGATATTGATATAGATAGATATTGATATTTAGATATATAGATATTGATATAGAAACATAGATATTTAGATAGATATAGATATTGATATAGATATTAATATAGAGATATAGATAGATAGATAGATAGATAGATAGATAGATAGATAGATAGATAGATA